GATTTGAGGATGAACCTGGAAAACAGCACGAACTTCCGGATCGACCTAATATTTTGGACCAGCACCACAGGGTGATCAGAGAATTTACGAAAAGACCGCGCCACATACCTTTTGAAAACAAACTTACCCCCCCCCCCCTCCTTCCCGCCTCCCTCCTTCCCTTGAAAACCTCAGAGTGTGACAATCTGGAGGACAATATCCTGTTTCAAGCATATTTAAGTACATATGATTTGAAGGCAGTGGCTCGGCAAAACTCAACAACTCAAATAATGCGGTAGACGCCTTATTGCCCAAGTATGAAAACAGTGCAATCCCGGTTGCACAGCATGCCTTCCTTGCCGAGAGAATTGCTCTCAAACTTACACGCGCAGGCCATTCCTACACGCATCTGGACGAGTTGGCAGTTTCCTTCTCACCATTGGAGCCTGTCCGCCGCAATGCCATAACCATTGGGTCCTGCAACGATTCGGCGTCACCAGCCTTGCAGCACTCGTCCAATTTCAAAGGGAAGGGCATTGAAAAACGCCCGTTTTCGGCATTTTCAAGCTCTCAAAAGTGGATTTTCGGAATCAGCGTATTGAATAACCCCAGGTGAGCGAAAATTTGACTATGTTGAGATTTGCTGAGCCACTGCCTTCAAGGCGTATTTTCATCTAAGTGGGCCTATTGAATGAGCCACACTTTCCTCAGTGGTGGGATGTTTGATCCAAAATTTCAGTCGAAGCAAGAGTAGCATATCAGCTAGATACTCATGCAGGAATGAAGCGTTTTCTGAGTTTTGAAGGCACTCAAGGAGATTGGGCACAAGGCTATAAAAGCTGAAGCGGCTTTACCTTCTGAGAGGTTGTGCCTGACCGTATTAACTTAATCGCTGAAGCAGCTTTTTCACTCAAGTTTTATGTGGTTTACGAGCACGAACTTTGAAGATTCTACAAAAGGTATCTGAACTTGCTTCGACTCGTTCCGGCTTTGCGGTGATCAGTGGAGTTGGAGCCGAGGTGAAAAACGCGGTGGTTGAAATTTTGGCAGCATTTTTAGCCAACTTTTTGTAAGCGACATAAGTTTAATTTTTAGCTTAGACTGATAGAGAGTCTAACTTTGTTAAAGATTAGGAAAGCTTTCTTTAATTTTTGAAAGCAAGTGATCATGTTTGGAAATCACGCTTTTTAGACGTTGGAAAACACTAGGAAATATAACAGACTAGCTGGCTTACCCGGCTCCGCCGTATCCGGACCAAACTTGGCACACATACACTTCGGGCCCCGGCGGGTGTCACAGTCCACTTTTCGTTATCGATCGATGTCGATTTTACCGATTTTTATCGATTTTTTGGCAGAGTTCACCTACAGGGCTAGGAGTTGGCACAGGGGGAAGTGAGCATGGGGATTCCGAATACAATATTAGTTTTCAGAATTATCGATTGCTTTTATTGATTTTATCGATTTTTTGTAAATTTTGACATGCGAGGCTGGGATTTTGCACAGGGGGGTAATCGAGCATGCTGATCACGAACACAATATTAGTTTTCAGGATCGTCCATTACTTTTATCGATTTTATCGATTTTTTTGCAAAGTTTGACCTGCGGGGCTGGGAGTTTGCACAGAGGGTAATCGAGCATGCAGATTACGAATACAATATTAGTTTTCAAGATCGTCCATTACTTTTATCGATTTTATCGATTTTTTGAAAATTTGAGCTAGGGGGCTGGAATTTGGCACAGGGGTGTTCGAGCATGCTGATCACCCCCCTTGGGGATGATCAGCATGCTCGATTACCCCCCTGTGCCAACTCCCAGCCCCCTAGCTCAAACTTTGCAAAAAAATCGATAAAATCGATAAAAGTAATCGATAATCCTGAAAACCAATATTGTATTCGGAATCCCCATGCTCGATTACCCCCCTATGCGAACTCCCAGCCCCGTAGCTCAAACTTTGCAAAAAAATCGATAAAATCGATAAAAGTAATCGATAATCCTGAAAACCAATATTGTATTCGGAATCCCCATGCTCGATTACCCCCCTGTGCCAACTCCCAGCCCCGTAGCTCAAACTTTGCAAAAAAATCGATAAAATCGATAAAATCGATATCGATCGATGACGAAAAGTAGCCTATGACACCCGCCGGGGCCCGTAGTGTATGTGTGCCAAGTTTGGTCCGGATCGGTTCAGAAATGGAATTTTCTAATCGGAACATACGTACACACATACAGACAGACAGACACACATACAAACAGACATTCAGCTTTATATATAAGATAATGGGTTGTAAAGCTCTTAGAAGTGGTATGACATGCTAGTAGCGGAAATTGTCCAATTCACACAGCAAGCTTTTTTGGTGACTTTACGATTTGCCATATTTATTTTCCATTAAATGATCATGGGTTTTGTCATCATATGGGTTTTCCTCATGATAAATATGGAGAAGAAATGTCCAGTATTACTATAAAACCAGAAAGAACGCCATCTTTTTTGCAAATCCTCTGACTCTTGTTTGCCACAATTTAGCCTCTCTCTTGCTCATATCAATCAGCATCTTCCGGGTCAACGTCTATCACGCAAAGTAGTGACCTCGCAAACGTCACTAACCTTTGCGTTTCTGCCTTTGCTCCGCAAATGCCACAAACTGGTCGCCTGAGTGGAATGAATGATAGTGCGGCGGCGCTTGAAGTCGACGCACGCAAGTTCGAACGCGAGCGATTTCACCGTTTTGCGGTTGTCCGCATCATCAAAATCTCATGTGAAAAATGATCGCAGATTAAGATTATATGAGTCTATCAAAACATAAAAGCAATCCGCGAGCTGCCGCTGGATTGGTACTTCCCGCGATGTGTATCAAACTACCGAAATCTATGATGCCAGGTAGGAAGAATTACTACCGGCCCTGCCCTCACGCACAATTGTGTTGCGTCACCCAGCAACCGCTATTTTCTTGGTTTTCATCTCTAATCGAATGGTTTTCCTGCTTACATATAATAGCATTTAGACACCGGAAGTGACTGAGCTGAGAGCTGAGGTTATGCCTTTTTGTTTGAGCGTATTCTACTCCTGTGGGCGCAAGACCGCAGTCAAATCCGTCGCCACGATTTTATAAATGACCTATACCTTCTCAGATAATCGCCGGGGGCAGGCGGTCCGCAAACTCGCGCTTTTCTGTAGGCGGTCAGCAGAATTTTGGGGCGTGGCCAAACCTTCAGCGGGCACTTCCGCGTTCTGCCAGCGGGCAGCAATACAGAATTTTCTGCGAGCGCTTGTCAAATAATATCTTCCAGCGAGCGCTGGCCAAACTTTCAGAGAGCGCTCGGACTCTTTTTAGGTATTTTCGGGCGTACGTCGAGCGCAGGTAAGACTCTGTGTGGCAGAGGTGTCACCGTTGGTTTAATTACTCAAGTTTGAGGTACTTTGTCTCAGCGGAAAGTACCTGGGGGTTGCGCGGTCCTCCACAAAGGACCGTGCGGCCCTCGAAATTTTTGCATATTCTCGCGGAAAGTCCGCGAGAATGCGGCCACTGCGCCGCAGCTAATCCATAAAGAAACCGCGATTGTCTTCAAGCATTCGTCTTTAATTTTGCCAACTTTCTTCCAAATTTCTGCAAGCGGGCCGCAAAAAATCAACGAACTATTTTTCCGGTGCGCGCTTGCTCAAAATTCGCATGGCCGCCTGCCCCCGGCGGTTATCTGAGTTGGTGTTATCGTGAGTGTCGCTACCGTCCGTAAGCTTCGAAGCGCAGCGAAAACCTCGTGGTGAGTATCCATTACTACGCGCAATTTGTGTAGCCAACATTTTAGACTCAAGTCGTTTATGATCACCCGTGCATATGCTAACAGCAGTTCGAAACATATTGATCACAACGATTCGTTTCATTGTTGACGGATGCGCTGAGTTGGCGTGTAGCAAGATGTTCTTTGAACTTTACTTTCTAAAAGCATGAGGCAGCAACAGCAGCCTAGCATGAATAACAGAAATGAATGTGTGTCGATAGCAACCAAACTCCTGCCTATCCTAACGATCTGTGAGCGATAGCCTGCACCTATATAAGTGTCGATCCTGGGCAAGACTCACTGTAGTCTGTCTCTTCAGTGCGGTTAAGTACTGACTCTACTGACTCTCACTAACATCACGGCGGATAAAGGTTCGTTTTCTGATCAACATGTCTCAGTACGCTGAGTGCGGGACGAGGTCTCTCAGCAGTGCGGAGAGGCGTTTGGCGTTCTGGTTTTGCTGATATAACACTGCAATCTACTTTCAGGCCTGCGACGAAAACGAAAAAATCGAAACGTAAGGCCAATAAAGAATTCCACCGTACAAACCTGGCACTGGCTTATATCATATAACAATTACTAATACTCATTACATTGACACAAAGCTAGTCAAACATGTTATATCAAAGCTTTACTCATTTTGATTTCTGTCGAAATGTGGTGGTTTATCGCATAGATTGGTCTTTTGCGCAGCTGGAAGCTTCAAACAATAGAGAGAGCGGAAGGCATATACAATGGCAAGAATGGACTATTGTGGTCTGCGCACAGATTAAACCCTCCGCGCAAACTTGCCCTTATTCTATGATTTTTTCCCACTTACAGTATGCCTACCGAATCACTCAAAATGACTCTATCGAATGGTTCCCTGGACCTACTGAATATAAAGTATACGACTTATCGCGGTAAGAAGTTAGATTGTAACAAGACTTATGTATACAATATATCTTACGACTTCGAGATGCGATTTTTCAAATTTACCAAGACTGTCAACGCTGCAAGCATGCTGGTGGTTATCTGGTGAACGAAGTAGCATCTTGTAGTTTGCATAACAATAAGATATTCATGGAGAACAACTTCCATACATTCAAAAGTGGGTCTCTGCAAGGCGTTTTAAAAAGTACAGCAGAAGGCGGTATCATCTAAACTTTGAAAATCTTATATCAAGATTAGGCTCTGTAAGGTCAATAGCTTTAGACTGCCAAACTCGTCGATATCTAGGTTTATTACGATAAGTATCGCGAGTCATTGTGAATGGCTTATCCACTGATGATCCGTGTGTGAACTCTGGGAATTGAACGAAAAGTACGATTTATCGCCTTCTGAGTGTGTAGCTAGGCGTCGTTTCATAAGCTTTTCTGCACGGATGAAACTTTGCATTCCAGCAAGTGATACAAGCTGTGCACGGAAGTCTGGTCGCAGAACAACGTAGACGACCAACGATAATACAGAATGAACAGCATATAGGCAGTATGCAATGCCTGAAATATTACTAATTTTTGCTCTTGGCTAACATGAACGCATTTATTAGTTTCTTGCATTTGCCCAAATATTTATGATATTCCCTGCAGCTTCTTCGCTTCTTGGTGGTATTTCACAGACAATGAAAGACTATCAAGATATTCTATACGTCCTCTGATCATGAAATCTGGGCATTGTTTGAATTCATGAGATATGTTGAAGCCACGCAGGTTTGTTAGGTTCTTTATTTCGGTTCAACATTTTGGCAAAAATGCCTTCCTCACAGACCTGAAAGAAAGTCTCGCACTTGTTTTTCACTCTGTTCTGTCAAATCTCTCTTCTCAACTAGCTCAGTTCAATGCCCTAGGAGCAAACACGCTCAGACTATACATTGTATGTAGCGTACCAAGATCTCCATCAATCAGGCAACAACAGATGTTTGAGATCCACTGGGGTAATAGACCAGAACTGACCGATATGGACAGCTTAAGTAGTAGTAGATATGTTATCTATAAGTGACAATATGACAGAAATGGCATCAAGTCACTTGTGATGGAGAGCTGCTCATTCTTTCCGTTTAGCTTAGGTTCGCGCGAAAAAATCTAAGCCGCTTCAAGCGCTTTGCGAGCAGCAGTTTTTCACTCGTGACCTAGGATGATGCACTTGATACTGAAATCATTGCCGTGATGATCTACCTTCCTGTGTTTCCCTGACATGGACTTGACATGCTTTCCCGTCTTTTATTAGGCATTTTTGCCGAAACGTTAGACCGAAATAAAGAACTTAACAAACCTGCGTGGCTTACAACATATCTCATGAATATCAAGATATTTTATGCTTGCTAAACAGATATCCATTGAAAAAGGGCAGGCGCAGCAGAAGATCCATATTCAGAATGCAAAACGAACAACAACAGTTGTAAAAGAATGCTGGAGTAGTCCAGCATTTAGCACTGATTTATATGAAAATGTCATTTCTCCTTTTGTTAAATAAACAGCAGCACTTATTCCTTATCTTAAATCAACACTACAGAGACCTCCCCCTCTCCCCTTCCCTCCTTCCCCACTCTAAGGGCCGCATTAACATCCCCGCAAGAGGATCGCAGCTAAAAGAAATCTCCATGTCCTAAAGCTACGTTATCTTGACTTTACGCTTCTACTTTACCTGTCAGTAAGTATTGCTACTATCCTCATTATAAGCATATTGAACAGGAGCAAAGTTATACAAGCCGCATTCTCTTTTTGTATAATCCGCTGATGATCCCCGACAGTTTCCTATGTCATTTTTCTTTATGAAAAACGTGCCAAAGTTTTACTGATTGTCTAATCGAACATTGCCATGCATGCCCCCGCTAAGAACAAACGGTGTGTTAAAGTCAAGTTATGAAATATGGATGATCCGCAAGTCGTATGAGAGGTTTGTTGGAAATTTCAAAATTCCAATAAGTCATCTGTTCTTATCAGCAGCATGCTTAGCACTGTTGTTAGATAATCAGAACAACTTTGAAATGTTTTCGTTAAATTCGAAGAAAGAAAAATGACTTTGAAGAAAAGACGGTCGGCCACTGGGGATCATAAGGAAATCATACAGAAAGTTGGAAAAAGGGCTTGCACAACTTCTCGCTCCTGTTCAATATGTTCATACTCAAAGACAGTAGGAAAAGTTTTGAATAGGTACAGCGTAAAATCTATAGGCTGCTGCACGACGAAGGCGCAATATCTTTGGGCTTTATTAGCCGCAGAGCGCATGAGACGCAGGGATTACACAACGCTGAAGATACGCGCGCGCCGTATTTGCGCCCGATCAACTTATATCGCTTCTGTGCCTTCGTCATGCAGTAGCCTCTAGTTATTTGGAGGCTCAGAGCATGAAGCTTTCTTTTGATCGGCACCCGCGGCGGGATGTTAATTCATGCGGTCCTAAAACGACCATTATTTATGACAATTTCCGAACCTGTAATGAGTTCATTGATTCCTGGTACACCATATTCATCCATAACCATGAATATACAAGGAATAGACACCAACAACACAGAGAGTCCAGTCAGCGCAAGTTTCATTTTCTGCCTACCCTCTTCTTCTTTGGACGGTGTCTGAATGTCAAGTTGAGCGCGGACAAATTTGTGCTAAGTTTGCCAGCACTTTTCTAGGGCTTTACCTGTTTAGAACATACGCTTAACCTCAATCCATTCAAGAATGCAATCTTACTCACAAGGGAATGGTCAGAAATCGAAGTGGCCAATCCATACAAGCTGCATACCATTAGATGCAGCATAAAACGCTGACTTTACATCTGTCTTTCGTATCTGCAGAGCGCTTTTGTGGACAAAATTATGACCCGTTAAAGGCCATTATTTTGCTAAGAAATTATGTGTGTAAAGGGCAAACTCGGCCGTACAGGTTTTGGTCTTGCACAGAGCCATACCCGGCTCAGTGCAAGACCAAAACATGCAACTAGGTCACTTCATATGGTCAGTACCTAAAGGTGAGCGAAAAGGGCAATAACGTGCCTAATCTAGCAATTTTTGTGTACGATTTTTTCGCGCTGAAGCTGATCATAACTTCGCTTACAAAGGCGCTCTGCAGATACGGAAGACAGATTTGAAATCAGCATTTTATGCTGCATCGAATGGTATGCAGCTTGTGTGGATTGGCCACTTCGACTTCTGACCATCCCCTTGTCAGACAATTGCCGGGGGCAGGCGGGCACCGGAAAAATAGATTGCTGATCTCTCGCACCCCGCTCGCGGATTTTTTGGAAAGTAATCAGGACTTTTCGGGAGACCGCTTGCTGAGTTCTCGATTCCACAGAAATTCAGCAATATATCAGCAAAAGATAAGAGCGAAAAAAATTCAACAGGCGGTCTCTCAAAAATCCGATGACTCAGCAAGCGGTCTTCCGAAAAGTCCTGATTGCTTTGCAAAAAATCCGCGAGCGGGGTGCGAGAAATCAGCAATCTATTTTTCCGGTGCCCGCCTGCCCCCAGCGATTGTCTGAGTAGGGTCGCATGCATTAACATCCCTGCGGGAGGGGATCACACCTCAAAGGAAAGCTTCTTATTCTGAAACTCCAGATATCTTTCACACTTTCTACCTATCCGTAAGTATTCCGCCATCCTTCACTATGAAGAGTCATTTTTGTTTCTTCGAAGTCAACGAAACCTTTCAAAGTCGTACTGATTATCTAATCCAATAGTGCTAATCATGTTGCTGATGAGAACAAATAATATAATGGAGTTATGAAGTTTTTGATGAACTACAAGTCGAAAGTTGGGGTTTATCGGAAAATTCGATATTTCAAAAACTCATTTGTTCTTATCAGTAACATGCTTAGCACTGTTGAGCTAAGATCAGCACAATTTTGGAAGGTTTTCGTTAACTTTGGAGAGAGAAAAATGACTTTGAAGAAAAGAGTGTTGGCCGCCGGGGATGGATCATTGGGAGATCATACAAAAAGGTGGAAAATGCGACTTGTAAAGCTTTTTGCTCCTTTCAATATGTTCATAGCGAGAAACGGTGGGAAAATGTACGGATAGGTAGACAGCGTGAAATCAGATATCTAGAGCTTCAGGTTATGAAGCTTTCTTTTGAGTTGCGGTCCCTCCCGGCGGAGATGTTAATGCATGCGGCCTTTAGATGGAGATCGGAGGAAGATCGAAGGATGAGAAATGATGGGTAACTTGAGTCTAGCACAACTTTATTTGTCGAGAGCATTTGCCCGACTTAGTATACCAGAGCTGCCAGCTGCTGGCATTTCGGCCCCGCTAGAGTCTGATCATCCTTCATTTCAATTTTTCCAGAACGATTGATTTTTTGGACAAATCAACAAAAGCAAGACCCACTTAGCTCACTAAAACTGACATACATAGATACATAGTGCCCATAGATCAATCGTCGTTTATGATCAAGAGATTAAGGCATTTACAGCGTTGTAATAGGTCCACCGTAGATTAAATTTGTTAACCACAAATCTGACCGCTTATTGGTCCCTGAACCTATTCAAGTGGCCTACGCAAAATGTAGAGCAGTAAGACTTTTTGTTCCTATCATATAAGGCGCGGAAAGTAATTCCCTCAGTTTGCCTTTTGAAACATCTCAGATAAAGGAAATTCAGAGTTTTTGACTCCTACATTGAGGCGGATTTTGAAGATTAGACAGAAGACTAAACAAGGAAGGATACTTGGTGACCCCGGCCATCCATAATGGTTTGTATATCAAAAAATGCGACTTTAATGCTGGTTCGGATACTGTTTTCGGTATCTGCGAAATAAGAACATGGATGGAGCTATAATTATTTTTTCAAGAATGAATTGCCCTACTGCGGAGGGTGAATGAATATTAATTTTTTCTTTCCTCTTTAAATGCTGAATATGGTTTAAATAAATATAAATACAACATACACTTTTCAAGAATATCCTCAATAGCTCCAAACGGTAAAATAGATCAAATTGGGTGATTTTATCTACGAAAAAGTTTATAACTGCCTTCATATAATCGTTTCGCAGATTTCGAGCACAGATTTAGAATCAGCATTTCGAGGTGCACCTTATGGTATACATCGCATACCAAATGGCCGGGGTCACCAAATATCCTTTCCTTGTAGGATTAGTTTGATTTGTAATCGTTTCCTCCTGTCCTTGAACGATTGATAAGAGCGTGCAGGATAATCGACGGTGCGCCGCAGGTTTGAGTGCGACTTTGAGCCGTAACTACACCACCAAGAATGATACCAATTTCAAATTGAGAATAGTGTGTAGAGCATAATCTCTCCTCTGAAGCTCGTCCCTATTGTAGATCAGGACATGAGGTTTTGGCTGAACAAGGAAGACTATTCCCTAAGAAAATCGCGCAAGTTCTTAAAAAAGAGCTTAGTCCGAAGTGCTCTTGCTTGATGAATTGGATTTAGATTAGAAACCAAATTTGCAGATTCCAACAAAAATAACGAAAATAGTGGAAACATCAGGTTTTGTCTACATCATTACTTTGAGTAAATAAAGATTGTTCGCAGTTTTGTCACGATCTCTGTAGCCTCGCAGCAACTTTTTCGTTGGAAAAATTCACAGTTCCCTCTTAGCGCAGCTGCTTACTGCCCATTTAGGATATATAGCGTCGAGAAGAGCGTGGAGGTAGGTTCGTGGAGACTGTCCTGGCATTGTAGGTGAGGCAGAGCATGAGGCAGTCTCCATGGCGTGTCGTCCGCGCAGACTTGTCGTTTTTGTCTAATCCAAAAGGCGCCCTGAGGATCCTGACATCGTTCTTGCTATCACCCGGCACCGCAGGCGGAATACGATGTGCAGGGTTTCTTTCTAATCCTCTAATGGAGGAGTAATAAAGATTTTCCCCTACAAGAGCAGACTTATCAGGCCTACTCTTGATTTCCACGGCGATCGCTGACCCCGGGCTTGGAGAGGGGGAAACGCCTAGCGACCAAAAAACCAGACGGCGGTGGATCTGGCTTGGCCGGTTCTTAGCTAGGCATCCGGCCGAGACCGGAAACGTCGAACTCCTTCAAAGCTTGGGAGGCTCTGCCAAGGTATACACTGGCTGTGTATCGCAGTTCGTCACCCACTTGCCACGATGAGGCAGCCATTGTGGGGATCTTCTTCGATGGTACTCGGGAATTGTATCTTCGAATATTTGGCTTTCAAAAGTATTCAAAATTAGAAATTACATTCGATTTTAGAGGAATACTCGAAAACTAAAAATTTCGCACTTTCGAGTTTCAACTAGACAGTCGACTACTTCAATCGAACGATGAGTCGGTAGAACATAACCATTTGCTCATTTCTGGATTGTAAGTATTCAGCTCTTCGTAGTCCATCTTTTTTCAGCTAAATCTTAAGCAATCTACATAAGCTGCTTACTTACTCTAGGAATGTAAGGATGTTGTTGAGAAGAATTTGACCCAAAGGTGACGTATGTTATCAACTACAAAATTATTTAATTCGAACAGAAAAGAAAGAGAATATCTATGAATGAATAATATTTGCAAAACTAAAATTTGAATCGAAGTAGAAAAGAAAGAAAATATCTATGAATGAATAATATTTGCAAAACTAAAATTTGAGCCTTCAACTTATGAATATTATTATTCAAGTTACATACTCAACACAGTGACGACCGCTTGACACACATGGTGTGTCAAGGATTGACGCACCATGACTCTCATTGAAATGGCTAATGTGTCAAACCAACTTCGGGAGTTTTCTTTCATGCTGGATTTAGATACAACCTCTACTGTTTTCCTGCATTCCAGCGCTACTATAGGTGTACTGTAGATGGAATTGCGGGTGGTTTTATTTGAAAAATGTTGGCTGGTTCGAGAAAGGTTTCGGTCGTCAATGTGTTAACCATCCGCAATCGAGATTCGTTCGATCTAAATTGTCAAATGAATATTTGCACGGTCTAAAGGTATCGTCGGTTCGTTGATCGCACGAACTGAACATCACTGCGGAGCATGCGCCGCGAGGTGCCGCTTGTTAAGTAAATTCGCCATTGTATAGGCGTTTCCCATGCGCATAGCGAGTCGTGCAGACATTTAAACACGTTGAAAAACTTGTGGAACCTCTACTATGAAGCATTAGTTTTTGTACTGTTTAGCTGCCAAAAACTGCCACGCGCATACGTTGGCAAACGGCGGCAAAGCTCCGCCCGCTATGCTGTGGGGAAAGGACGATACAAATCTCTCGCAACATTTCAACCGCGCCGCGCATGGTCGCAGCATTTGAGCAGTCCATGCGGTCAACGAATCGACGATATGTGCCTGAACGGCGTTGCAACATTGCCTGTTCATCGGCGGATTGCTACACTCAAGAGTTTTCACAATTACCTTTCCTTCTGTGGTCTTCCGAGCAGGCAACTCTGCAAAATTTTGAGGGTTACGCGAGTCTCTAGATTGCTTCTACTGGTTAGATGTTGACATGAGCCAAAAGATGTGTGATTTAGGTTGTCGACAGTTTTGTAAAGTTGAAATTCCCCAACAGTTCGTGCTGCTGCTTGCTACCCCAACTTACCCGTAGTCGATTAACTCTATCGAATATGGTCATTAACACAATGAAGCAGAAGATATAAGTGAGTGAGATCAATGCATAATGCGCTGTGCCATAGATAATTCCTGTAGAGTTGAGGACAGTACATAAGCGCGATGTGTACAGTGTCGTGCTTGTGTGATTGATGATGACAGCAAACATGAAGAACATCTGCAAAGAGGGGTATGTCGTAGCTAGTAATCTGCTATTTGAGTTCTCACGAATGTCATCATGAAGGCAGCAAAAATCAAATAGAGTTTGTGATGGGGTCTCCAGTTGTTATGATACCATTCAGCAAACTCCAGTGCAAGTACTCTCTCGAGCGCGATGAACAGGTTCATGAGAGCTGGAAACTGCCCTGGAAATGTCCTAACTTGCTTCAATGAAAAAGGAGGAGTCTCATATGTCATCGGATACCACGTGAGGACCAGAAACCCAGGATAGAGACGATATATTTACCCACCTGTTATCGCCTATTTAATATGGTTAGTTGACGACGATATATTTACCCACCTGTTATCGCCTATTTAATATGGTTAGTTCCTTTCGAACTTTGGGAGATCTGAGCAAATTCGCTTAGATGCTAGCCCCGTATCGGTAAGATGACCGATCTACAGATCGATTTTCTCTAAAATTTGGAAAGCGGCTGCTTCTAGTTCATCCTGGATCGACGCATTCCCCCCCCCCCCCCCCCGAATCACCAGTTTCTTTGGCCCAGATATGTAAGACTGAACAAGGAGTCTTTTTTACTGCCTACACAAGGAAAAATTTTTGTGCAATGAGCATGCTGCGTCCTTACAGGCGTGGAGGAATAATCATAATTGGTATTGACTCATATAGGTACTCAGAAAATGCAAAAATTTAGAAAAAGCTTCCAAAATAAGAGCACAAGCTTATAAAATTCTATGACTGTCTTTATGACTTGATGTACACGTACATCTTCCGCAATCAGGTAATTAACAGATTCATTTTCTCCATTGACATAACCATCTTACAATACCGCTCGCGTTTTTTAAAAAGCGACGCACAGTCGCCCCGATTTTGACATCACGGGTGCGTGGCCATATCTCGCTTAATAGTGAACGAATTTTTAATCCAAGGACCCCATTCGACTCAGCTCGGCGCGGTGCATCTTTTGATGTAGTGCCTGTTTGGACACAGTGGGAGGCCAGATTCTACGAATTTTTCAGATTTTTGCTTACAGTAGGAAGTGCGCCTATTCGTTGCACTCGCTGGTCCTGCCATAAACAAAAAGCTAAAACGATTCGTGGACTCGGATCTCCTCTGTGTTCGAGCCACTTCTATACATAACAAGATGCCCTTGGATCAAGAATCCGTCCACTCTGAAGCAAGATATGGCCACTCTACGGTGATACCACAACCAGGCGACCGTGCGTCGGCAAAGAATACGCGGCATTGTATGTTAATACTTTGTTATCTACGCGGCCACCCATTGCACATACCTGCGAAAAGCATAGGAACGGCCCACGGAGTTTGTAGTAGGCACTGGGCACTCGTTACATGGATGTAATAACTGCCGTGGTACATGAACAAGTTTCGAAAGACACCGGCAGCCACGAATGATAATCCATTCAACTAAATTACGTAGGCTATTACTTTAGTATAATTTAAATAAGACTTACTAGATCGCCTAAGGACAGGGCTAAGAACAGGATGTAGCGCTCTCTAAGATCTCTTGTTGAAAGGACAAGAATGCATATTGTACTGGAGATACACGTTATAGCTCCGAAGGCAGCATAGAGGTATGACCGGATTTCCAAATCTGTGTCAACATACTGAAACAAATATTAAGGTGATCGGTAAAAAATGGGGCAGCTTGATTTTTATTAAATTTTGAGGTTTTTTGTTTCGATCAACAGCAAGCAGGTTGCAACGTAAACGTCGCTTATATAGACCTTCGCCTATTATTCTGGCAAAGCTTCAACGCTCTTCTCCCACAACCCTACGCGTGGCGCTCTGAAGAACTCGAACAGGGTTTTTTGAACATCGCTCATTCTTGCGCTGCCATACCATAAAGTTATAGAGCAATTGATACACCATTCGAAAGAGCTCTTCATGCTTTTTCAAACAATATATTAAACATGCAGGATAACTTTCTATTTCTGGGTAAAAAAAGAGAAATACCTGAAAAATCGCGATTTTTTGGCGCAACAAAAACCAATAAATCAATTTTCAATCTGTATTTTCCAAAGATAGATGAAATGTGAGGTAAGCTGCATATGATTAGATAGAGCGTAAAAAGCTCTATCAGATGTTACCTAGAAAACATGCGTTTACCTGCAAAGAATTGAATAACGCGTATTTTTGTTCTCGAAGCTACTAATGGCTATATCTCCTGATTTTGAAAGTTGAGGCCATCAAGCTGCCGTGGGTTTAGTGACTGTCCCACCACCCACTCCAGCAGTGGTACTTGGGTGGTCTCACATGCTTCACTGCGCAGATACTGTCCCAAAGTTTATAATTTGTCAAAGTGACTAACTTTGCATTTCAGCCACTCTAAAATTTATTACGTATGTAAATGACCTTATATAGGTATTTTCTGAAAGAGAACAATTTATTCTAACATCTAGCAAAACTGGAAAGTTTAATCACTTTTCTTTTTTGAGAAATTTACATTCATTCTCTAGGTGCCGCATTTTTTACCGATCACCCTAATATTAGGTCGTTCCGAAAGTAATGTCGCTTTTTTCGAATGAACGCCACTATCCGTGGAATCAACTCAAGAGCTCTTAGGAGCATTCGATGCAGCATTTCATCCTCTTTCTAACGGTTCTAATTTCACTGCATAACGTCTGATGAGCTCTTGAAAAATTACCAAAATCTGCGACTCATGCTTTTTGCCATGGTCAATTTCGGCTATTTTTCTAAATTTTTGTACCTAATCTCCGAAAAAGTACAAGTGGCAGGTAGATAGAGCAAACACTATAGAACACAGAGTAATTTTTTCTTTTCCTTAGGTTGCTTCTCAGAGTTTCTACAATCAACTTCTCAATGCCATCAAATTCCATATTTAGTCCAGTCAAACCTCACAGAACAACAACCGGCAAGCGACTCGGGTGTCATTCGATGCAGCTTTTTCTCCTCTTTCTAGCTGTTGTTTTTTGTTTCCGATTCATCAAGTTTTCCGGGATAAAATCATCAAAGTTCAAGTTTTCAAGGCACCCCAAGGTGTACCCGAAATTTTCGAAAGTTGCTAAACCGAAGCGGTGAATGCTCGTTTGGTTTGTAAAATTGTTGCCAAACCATAATCCATCTTTGTAAGTTTCAAAATCCGGAGATTTGTCGGCGTTTCAAGCACTTGTGTCTGAGACGAGCCTGCTAAAATTCGGCGGTTCCATCAAAAAATCTGTACAAAAATTATGACGAGCTCTGGGACGTAGAAAAAAGTTGTGCTGCTTCCTGTAGGTAGGGTTTGCTCCATCCATCCATTACTTGGACTCCTTCTGAGGTTTGTTATAAAATTTTAGAAAAATTGTGTAACTTGGCCATCTCAAAAAGCATAGGTCGCAGATTTTGACTCTTTTTTGGAAGCTCATTGACTGTATTGCAACAACTTTACAACCATTAGAAAGAGAATGAAATCTGCATCAAATGCTACCAGAATCTCTTACAAATCTTTGTTCCACGAGATGTGGCATACGTTTGAAAAAAGCGACATTACTTTCGTAACGACCTAATAGTTTGATTTACAACAGTTGTGGAATAATGGGTATAAATTTTCTGTAAAAAGAAATGTACGTTTACTTTCTCGGTTGATGAGGAAAAAGAAAAATCTCTTTGGCGAGATAGTTATTTAGCAAGATATGCAACCGAACTTTTGTAACTATGTATACCTGTTAGTTTTATGGTTGGTTATCTACTGTTTATTCTTTCTATCATTCTTCAGAACTTTCTTGGAGGGTTTTATTTTTGTAAATTTGCATATTCTTAAAAGCAGCATATCCGCTACTCGTCACTGTTCTCTTCGTTCTATAGCACGGATCAGGAAAATGCGAGAATGCCTCTGTATCTCCCGCTCTTTACGATAATGCCGAAAATACTTGCGCATGAGGATACCTGCATGATGCTTCAAAATGATTAGTGTTTTAATAATCTTTTTGTTACTAGCCTGATTTCGAGAAAGTAAGTGTAAAATCAACGTTATGCAGTGACTTGATTCTATTTCAGTCAAGGTAATTTTACAGGTCCCGTAAAAATGGTTTTCCATTTTTCAGAGCACCAGAAATTTGAGAAACACCTTAACAATGTTTTCTGAGTGTGGCTAAATTTACGACTGGATTATTTAATAGCCTTCTCTTATCCCTCACCCCTCCCCAAAAAATTGGGTCACCACTGGTTACTATGCATTATCGCATCAAACAAACCGGTAAGGAAGTTCGTACGACGGAATAGTTAGCAGTTTGAAGGGGCAGCAGCTGTATCGGTTCCATACCTGAAAGGAAATTTATCTATTCTCGCACAAAGTGTATTATGAAGTAAGCTGGGTTATACGAAGTTGTGCATTGTGTCAATTAGCTAAGACCAATTTCTTACGATTTTGGGCGTAAGAGCTCATGCATGATTCGTGTTTTCGCAAATTATAAACTAAGCGACTTACCGCGTACAAGTATATAGTATACATGGTTATTTTTACATTGCTCATCTGTTATTTTTTTGTTGTACTTTCTTTCCATGCACAAAGATGCCGCAGTGTCGAAAAGAAGGTAAAATCATAGTAAACCTCGCTGGAGTGACAGGTCGCTCTCCTGTCACAGACGGTAAGTCGTTCCCTGCTTGATTCCTGTTCCCATACCCAAGCGTGATTTGAGTTAGCACCTAGTAGAGCTTGACTGCATGAAATAAACCATTTCTTTCGGACGAATCCCTTAAAGTAAGGGTTTCACCAGCCGTCGATTCCCTCAAACAAGTTTTATATGCGAAAGTGTATGTAAGCTATTTAAAGCGGATGTGCGAAGCGAAATACAACGGGAAAGATTCGAAATTTCAAAAAAAACCCCAAAAAACATCGAATAAAAATGACTTATTGAGAGATTGGCGACGGTCCAAAGACAAATGCAAAATTGCAGCACCTCACTCTAATTTAAGGATAGTTTTTATGAAAGCCTGTAATGTTATTCAAATATTACTTCCTACCAATTTTCGAATAGAAACTGACTGCAAAAAAGGCATTCACAATAACTTAAAAATTATTTTGTACGAAGACAAATCATGCAAATCTTCATGCATGCAATGAATGAAGATGAATGTTAAAACAAGATGCGCATGTTTGAGAAAATCATGGAAACAATGCGGGGCTAATCTTTAAAGCTGAAAATTGTTACGAACACAAATCTCACGTAAACAACCCACTTGCACAGACTTAAGGGAAAAATTATAGCAACTTAGAGACTGTGTTCTGAGAGCAAAACAGCAGGTAAAAACTAAATTTTGGCTTTCTCAATTTTTTTACCTGGGCAAGGTATTGTTAGATTTCCTTTGAACAGCTTTTGAGAGTTACCGATGAGTTCTTGTGATTCTGTTGCATAAAGTTATTATAAGGCTTGTAAAGCGATAGCAATAAAGCTGTTAGAGCCACCACCATCTTCTCCACCAAGCTTTCTTTACCTTAAAAGTTTCGATCTATGGAGATAAATATTTGTCTAACAGCTTGTAATATTCAGTGCATTTTGATGATCGTTACTTATCCACAAGACTATTTACATCGGCTGCTTTGCTGATGTTTTTTTGACATGTAAATGCCTACCCACTAATCAAATTTATAGAATAATAACTGCAAGAATTGTGGAAAAACGGGTGTAACAGAAATTGCTCTGCTATCTCATTGCTTATAACTCTCTTGCCTTGAGTTCTTTTACGCTTATGGGCAACACCTTGTAGCTGGCTTGAACTTAAAGTTGCAGCTTAGAGCAAATTAACTATTAGTCCTCTTTACAGTAAGAATACGGTGGAAACTTTGAGTGAAGAATTTCACGCGCCTGAGGGTCGTGTTTTTCCATTTGGAGAGATTCAACCACAACGCTTCCACTAGATATTTAGAGTCGCTGATTCCAATTATATGTCTTACTGTCGTATTGCCTGATTTAAAAGGTACACCAGCTATATCATAATCAGCTGTTTTCCAGTGTTCTCAAAAAATGTAATTACAAAGACTAGAAGTTCAACTAGTAAAAAGTCAAGCAATAAATTCAGTTGCGTGAAAACCTTGTTAACAAGTTTTTATGTTTTTCAAACTTTTCTAGAAAGGCAACTATAGGCAATGGCGCACGATACTGGAAGCTGTTGCAATATTCTACAATAATGAATGCTCTAAGTAGTATTTAGCTCTACGAAAGATATCCTTGAGTTTGACAAAACTTGAGACGAGAGTTACGTGTTAAACTGCGAGAGTAGGCTGTCCCTACCCTTTAACTGCGAATTATTCATAGTTAAAGGGTAGAAACACTTTTTTGGGCATCCTGTATACGATTTTGCTTTTCTTACTTTCCATATTTTTAGTCTGATTCAGTTATCCATAGTGAATAAAATTAATTTATTCGCCTTCACTGCTTTTTTTCGTAGCAATTCAAGTTCCACAACTCTCAACCACTTGTTGTAGTGCTCCCAACTCACGTTTTTTCTATGAGCAAATTTCTGTTTTTCCAAAGCACTCTCTACTTCGCAATAACTTGTTTTATACATTTCTGACGACGCACAGCTTTTTCTTGCACAGCACTCTCTGATACTATTGTCTAATTCGACGCTCTATTTGGAGTCAATATGTGAGTTGAGCGTTCTCCGAACTCTCATGGGGAAGTCAGAAGTCAGCTCCAATCTTTCACAGATGCTGGTGGTACTGCGGTTCAGTTCAGTAGCAACAGATTCGCTAGAGCCTAATGCGTTTGTGCCTCTTCCAGTGTTGCTCCTCCCTCATGAGACTTCCCAGAGTTTAGCATACTTCTGGGTAAAGTCTCCAGATTTTCTAGCATGGGGTGTAGAGCTGCTCCGACTTTACGAGAGTGTTTGTTATGAACAAAGAAACTAGCGCAATTAGTGCTGAGTATGTTTTTCTAAATGTCATCGATAAGGAATAAAAAGTGTATGCGGCTAACAGGCCGTTGTTCCTATAGTAGAGCATCAGTTAGAACTTCAAAAACATCTCAAGTGCTTTCCATTTAAACACTGAGGCCCCTTTGATTTTCAGGTACTACCAGTATCCTTCTGCAGTATGGCTTGTAGCCTTCGCTGTACTTTGGGCCGAACGTGATGTGCCGAGAAACGTATTTTCGGTTACGAAGCAGTAGATTGATCCTCTGGCATCTTCTTTTGAAGTGAGAACTCCGTGTGGCTCGGTAAAAGACGCATAATCACCAAACAGAAAATGTCAAAACGTTCTTTCTAAATGAGAATTTTAATTACGAAGCACAACCCTTTTGACAATAATTTATCGCATATTTACAACACAAGGTGATCGATGGTATGTTTCAACATGGCATCTACATAGTCGTCCACACCTTTCACTGTGGAGTTTCCCTCGTCCATTAATTTGATCGAACCTAAATCAAATACAGCTTGAGCTGGCAAGGAAAGAATGCTTATTCCTAGTGCTAACCTTATTCTAGGGCTTTAAAAATCACTTTTTTACGGTTCTTCTTTCAGCATTCTTCCCATTAGTGATGCCGCTTCGCATACTCTCGCGCTTAAGCGCCGCTTTTTGCATCTTTTTTAGAGCATTCAAAGCATGGTTCTTCTGTGCCAGCGCTCAAAAGCAGAAAATGGGCTCGCTATGGCTTTGCCTATGAAAGAAATCTCCACAGACTTTAAATGTTGCAATAAAAAATGTACGTGTTTGAGTGCTAACCCTTATTTAATCCACCGATTTAACATGAATCTGCAGCGGAGAATCTCTTATATTCTTCGATACCGTAGAATTTCGGTAGGTACCTCAGCGCATCAAAACATGTCGTTAGGCTGCTCATATACTCTTTTGTAAAAGTCAAACCAGCTGTCTATAATGGCTGATGTTTTGCGTTACTTGTAAGGCTTATCGGTATGGTTGAGTTTTTGCCAATCGTCTATAACAGCGGTGTCACGACATCTGGTATGACTCATGATTCATGTAATAGATAAATGTTGAGTGCGCATTTCATATTCAAAATTCGCGACTCTGAAGTACTTGGTGATGGGATTTTCTCCTCGTTTACAGTCTTTCTTGCAACTAAATTCGTTCTCAGTGGCGAAATTTTCTTGGAATTTTCTACTTTGATATTATGATAGGAAGTTTGATCTAAGCTTCATACAACAATTCACCAGAAGCTTCACCAGAATCGTAATACCACTGTTCTCAAAAGCTCTCAGAATTCTGCGAGATATTGCAACAGCCCTCTAGACCTCAAACTTCATACAAGCAGCATTTTAACTATAAGTCTGTCCACTTCTTCATATGGTAACCGGAATCCGTGAGAGATAAAGATTCAAAAGAGTCATCAACGACTGAACAGTGGCTAACTTTTTTAGGATGCCCACTATAAGCAGGAAGAAAGCTGGGAACCAGTCAAGTTGAAGATTTATATTAAATCGATTCGCTTATGAAGAATGGTTGACTTCTGGTTACGCCAGTTCAGCGCGTCCCCCCTATTCCGACAACTCTTGCAGTTGTGAGACTATCGATACAGGCTACTGTGCCACTCACCAAAGGAAACTCGTCGTCCGCGATTGTGAGACACATTCAATCCCGCGTTTGAGCTCTTTTTTGATTCAGGTCTGGAGTGGTTTTGAGCTTCGATATGACCGTTCTGCGATTGCTTGGTCTGCGGCTTCTCAAGTGCAAGCAGCTCTTGCAAGCTCTTGAACGGTTGGCCTTAAACGGAAATTTTACAGAGAAAATTATAGAGCAGGTGAAATTTCTCACCTGATAACAATGTGTCCAAATGAACATTGCACAGCTTCTCATCGTATCGAAAAGCAACTTTGTTGTACGCGCATGCCGTTCCCATGAATTGGGATAGATCGAAGACCCGTGCATGGACAGGGGGATCAAAAAATGTGGCTCCATATGGTATCAACTCTAGCTGGAAATCGAAGCAATAAAATGATAAGCAAATCAGGCTTGAATGGAAAAAATTTGCCCGCTGTTCTCAAATTTGTGTGACTCTTTCAAACTCAGGGAACTATCATTTACTCAGAGGAGGAAACTCGAGCATTCGGGCCCATTTACAATAAACAAGTTGAAACTTTCGGATTGACACATTCTGAATGTTTTTTCAATTCAACTGAAAGGCAGAACAAAGTTGAACCTGTAAAGCAAAGTCTGCGAAGTGTTCTTATGGTTGTCTAAGAATGAGTAATGTTACAATAGCTCTTCGATAAGAACAAGTTTTAGGCTCCGTTTAGAGTTGCTCGTGCCGGCGCAGTTCCAGTACCGTTCAGGATGCTGATCGATCGATACGGGACTACGGTTCAAGTGAGTTCCCGCGCGGCTCTGACATGGCACTGGCACGGCACTAGCATACGGCCAGTCGAGATTAGGAACTAGGCAAGCAGACTATATAACAGAAACTCATCCCTACCTTTCTGAAAGTCAATCAATTCCCTAAGCAGGAAAACATATTTTGTCTTGTGTCTAGTAGAGAAGTCTCAGACCCATCAGACACTGCCTCTACTGCTTATAGAGTCTACTCCTTACCGAGTACTGAAGATATCGATGCTCATTCAGATGCTGGAGCGCATTTCGCAGAGCAACTGCGATGTAAGGCCAAAGGAGTTTTGATGGTGATGCCATCTGATCTTCCTCCAACTCGTCCACGCACAACCTGGCAGCGATCTCTATTTGTGTCGGCGATGTTCGTTCCACGTGCAAACGAACCTAATCACAAATCCAAAGATGATAGATAGAACAGGGAAAATCAAAAAGACCAACCGGATCATCGATGAGCAAAATTCCTGCTTTCCATTCATGTGTGAAATTAGATAGCCCGTGCAAGGACTTTCGTATGTCGGTGAACGTAGCATTGTCAGGACCTGCGACATAAAACGTGATTCTGATGAGCACTTGTATTTCGGAATCCAGAGGCAGTGGAGTCCAGTGGAGAACCTATACACAACTTTTTATCAATAAAAATGCGTGATTTATCAAAACTTACAGGTGGTTTGCTTGAAACTGAATCTTCGTTATTGTCATTGAGTGATATCTGGACACTTCCGCCAAAAAATGACTCCAAGTTTTTCTGAAGAGTACAATGCGGGAAACTTCCAAGTCGTTCCTATTGCTTACCTTAATATCGTCCCCTAAGGAGAACGTTGCATAATTCAGGGTTGGAAAGTCTTGCCAAGCTCTCAGTTGTTCAATTCGATCATTTTTCCATGAGCCGGAAGGAAGACGACTGCAATTGGGCTTTGAAAAATAAGCAATCTATGCGAAAAATTTCAATCTCGCTCTGCAAGAAAAAATCAAAAAACCTTATGCAATGACAATCGCTAAGTGTTTCAGAAGGACACCACTCATCGTCGTGCTAGTAAATTCCCTGCGCTTGCAACTGCACATTCCCTGCTGATTAATTTAAGACATACACTAAAGCTAGTCTACCAGTCATTGAAAATGCATGTCCCACACGCACCTGATGGAAGTATTTACTCGCAGTTCAAATTGCACCCCCGATTTGTGCACGAAGAGAAAATTAATTTATGGAATTTGACACGTTTTCATAGCCAATGCATGGCCAGCAAGGAATACGTTATAGATGCAGCTGCAGACTTGCTTACAAATGCTGGGTTTATGCTGATCCGAAAGTTCCGGGACTTCCAGCACAGTTTTCGAAAGGTGCTGGAACTGTGACAGAACGTGCTGTTTTCAAGGGTTTTTCCCTCGAGCTTCACTCTTTCTGTCTCATTCTTCTACTCCGCTTCCCATTTTGATGAGAAGAGCCTCTATCTTAGCAGTGTCCGGGCATAAACTCGATTTTGAAATTTCGTGCTTACCCGGGCCTATTCGCTATGCCGAATCTGAAGATCCACATTGGATAGCGCGAATTTCCCTCCTTCGTTAGAGCCGTTTTTCGCCGTTTTCGCGCTTTCCAATGTGCATTTTCGGATTCAGCGTACCGAATAAGCCTGGACAAAATCTCAAAATCGAGTTTTTGCCCTGTCACTGCCTTTAAAGGGTTGAAGAATGAGTGCAGTTTTGTTCTTATGTACCTATGTACCCGGGTAGATGGGTCTTCTTGCGCTCATCCATCCTTCTAAAACAGAAGTAGGTGTGAAACAAAAACAACGAAGAGAGAATGGACGAGTAACGGAACTTCCGGATCAATATTAACCCAACCAAAGATAGCTGCAACTAAGGTGCAGCACTTAAGTAGTCTCAATTTTCAAGCCTAAAATTAGCTGCATTAAAGAAGAAGCAACTGCGGAGAGCTTATTAAAAAGACACCATAAAAGAGATAGGAGATACTCTGAAATAGACAGGAGATAAAGTTCAAAGAAATACTGTAAAAACTTGTATGATTCATACTTGTTTACACTTGTAAATAATTGAAACTTTTTAAATTTGTTCTGCGAGTTCTTGTATTCGATCGACCACTTGCTGTTGTTCTTGACCACGAACTTCTTTACAGTTTATTGCGTCGTCGAATAACACAGAACAAATAAATGAGACGAAAATATGTGATGAGGTTAATTGGTGATAACGGGAGGACGATACTTCGGACGAGGCGAGTCGCGGACGCTGTCTTGATGGAAGTGAAGTTAACAAAGCCGGCCCTCCAACCGCACACGTGTTAACTTTGCAGTTGTGTCCTCGCGCAGCTGCGAGTTGCGCAGCTGCGCCTTCTTTTCATGTCTTCTGATGACTTGCGATCAGAATACAGATCGCGAATTCCGCGATATTTGTTAAATATTCAATTTAAATTAAAGTCTTTCGGGGGCGTGGCTGACGTGAAATTTCGGAATTAAGGGCCCGCAACATTTTGGAAAGCATATCAAAAATCCTTTGGAATGTATGGTTCAAGTCACGCACCTTCATTAGAAAAAATTTTTTGTTCCTCCCCCTCTAAAGGAAATCCTGGGAACGCCACTGTTGGATACTGATTCTGTATTTTGTAAATCTCGGATACAAACATGCATGTTTTTGCTATGCAGTAGACATCTTCACGGCACCGCACGAATCTAAGTGCTTGGTTCTTATGTAGAAATACTTGGTTTTTTTAATGTAGAAACAACTGGGAAAACCCGACAGAACCATATTCAAGCGGTAGCTCACACACTTGGCAATGAATCATGTGGGTAACGACTTATCTAAATCCTCCTATAAATTTCTCAATGAGTGGCCCAGGTGCCCAGAATTACTTGGATGCTTTGCTTTATTTTCTAGAGCCCAGTTTTATGTTCTTAAGCTGATTTAGTCTTTTGTAAGTTATCGACATAAATGTACTTTTTGTGAGGCTTTTCTATAGCGAACACTGAATTTTGACCCTAAGCACTTTGCTTTCGAGGTTTATGACATGTAAACAATTATATTTCTCTTACCTCACTTTCTGGGCTGCCTTTTGATTCTCCTCATGTGCTCTGCTATATTCTGCTTGTATTGCCTCATCAAGAAGTTCACTGTCGTTGTCGCTCCATTTTCTCTTCACCACTGCCAAACCGAGCTTCTTTTCTGCCTGAACTAAATTCATCACGAGGGTAATGATTGAATGCGTGATAGAACTTAGTTGCTTAGCTGATAAGATACATTTTGCCATAAATGCAGTGGGAGGTGACTTTCTTCTTTTCCAAGTTGAAAACAAATTGAAATTCAAGAAAAGTGGAATATAGTTAGCACTCCACCATGATCAAGTCAGGAATATTGCTGAAGGGTCGCTTTGCCCGTATCATCGAATAAAATTATATCCAACAAGCACAGGCTTAGTTGATAAGACAAACACCGCGCTTAGTGAATTCATAGCTTCGTTTCCCCTCCGATCTCATATGCAGTGAAAATATTTTTCGGCCACAAAAGTAATGCGATTACCTTGCCGGAATCACTATTGTCATGTGTTTATTAACTTGCTAAAGAACGCTAATGGAATATCAATGTGATATTAAATACAAATTCTACGTCCTAGTTTTTTTCCAGAATTTAGGGAAATTATTTTATATTCACCAAGACTTCTTCATTATTTCAGCACTGCTAGCTGAGTGCATGTTATTCTGGACAATGTTAACATTTTATATGATGTTTTCTTGTTGAGTGAGTACGATTGGTGGGAAGGAGTTATTACCAGCTGCTGCATGAGTTCTGTCCGTTTGCAATTTTCAAGTTCAGAACATCATATTTTCTCTCAGAACCATCTTGTATTAATAAGTTTGATCTTTCCGAATTCAAGAAGGTCCTGGCTATTAAACGTGTAATATACCTGCGAGAACGCAGTTGTAAAAGAACCAGGACCGCAAAAATTCTGCAGTATTTTCTTTGAACCTGTCTTTCTTTGACGTTTCACTGCTCCACTGTAAAGCATATTAGGCACTTGGCTATCAGGCGGCATAGAGCTATCATTAGATAGGGAAAATTTTTTGAAGGTAATTTTATGACGAAAAAGAGCCTGTACTATTCTTAAGACCTAGGGAATTTTTTGCAGATGAAAAAAAGCTTTTTCGCCTCGCTTTGTGAGATTTGAAATTTTTACAATCACTGCGAACGTTGATAAGTTACTGGTGTACAGGCTCTAATAGCTCTTGCTTTACTCTTTCAGATAAAACTTTCGACTTATCGATTGTCTTTAGTCACGCAATAGTACCAACTGTAGAACATATATAAAGAATTGATTTGCCAACAAATTCTGCAAGCAAGACGATTTTTGAATGAAATGAATTAGTACATATGTTACTTCACTACACCCTTGACCGGTGATCATCAAAAGAAACTAACTTGATAAGAGCACTGTGGAAATTTTCTTGCAAGAATATGCTTTTCAGTAGAGACCATATTTTAGTTACCTCCCTTCTTGACCTTGTTGGACTGCGGAAAGAGCAAAATAAAAAGCTCTTTCTGATGATACAAATCCATTCAGAATCAAACACGAAAATCTCTTAAAACAGCTGCTTTAAACGCAAGGCAAAAAATCGGACAGAACACTTTTCAGCAGCTTTTTACAATAGAATGGGAAGACAGAATATACTTATTCGAGCAGAGTAACAAAAGCCTCTAACCTAGGACACAGAATTCTATTGGATACGAATAGATGTAGAACAGGCATTCTCTAGGAAGATATATACTGGACCGTCTGTATTTTACGCATGTTCAAATGATACAGACTAAGCTTTTCTTCGCACCATTTACCTTTAAGTAACTATTTTTCATTTATTACTAGTAAATAATTAATCAGTTACTTAATAATTGATTGATTTCATTTAGTGCTATCAAATAATTATTAGGTGCAAAACTGAAGCATGTCCTTGTCAAGCCGCGGCAGAGAAGACATAAACAAGCTCTGTTAGATGGCGTCCAAACAATCGCAAAAAGCCTGATGCATGGGTTTAGCAAAAAAAAAACTAACAATATTTGCCTAATCGGTTCTGTCCAAGAAAGTCCTACAAACTACCAAGCTCAAAAAAGTCACTTATTGCATCATTACATATGTATGTACACCTATTACATTTTTTGCGGCTAGAAGTAAAGGAAATAAAAATTGGCATGCTCTAGCAAAAGCAAAACTGAACTATTTTATGACTAATTCTATACTACAAGCCTTCTAAACATAATAAAATTTTCCAGACCCAAATTGGAGGCTTCAGTTTTCTGAAAAGTATTCTGTTTCGAATATTAGAAATTTTTTAGATTCTTATTTTAAACTTCCTGTGCACTCAATTTCTTGAGACTATTTCAACACCATCACAAAAAGCCGACTTTGCTCTATCGAATGATGAGCATTACAAATTTTCATGCCTTCTCTGCCGCAGCAAGAAAAATCTGTATGTATTTTACATCAACCTGATACAAACTGTACATACTAGCCTCAGGGCTTCGGTTCGGTACATTTTTATCTAATACTGCACAGCTTACAGTGAGCAGACTGGTTACACATGACTCCGCGATCTCAATTATTTAGCGAATTTTTACTCCTTCGAAAATCTCCAAAACTGTTCAAAACCCGTGTAATTATTTATCTTTCGGGCACATGGCAGCAACGAAACATTTATATGAAGATTTTCTGAGTCCAAACGCAAACGTGCAAAAGTAGCCGCTGTTACAAAAAATCAAGAGAAAAATTTCAAACGTTATTTTAACGTTTATTCCGCAGCCTCTGTGGGTTTTGTAATGTTTATTTAAAACGTTACAAAACCCACAGAGGCTTTTCAATCAATCTTATATATAAAGCTGAATGTCTGTTTGTATGTATGTCTGTCTCTCTGTCTGTATGTCTGTCTGTGTGTACGTATGTTCCGAACAGAAAATTCCATTTCTGAACCGATCCGGACCAAACTTGGCACACATACACTTCGGGCCCCGGCGGGTGTCATAGGCTACTTTTCGTATCGATCGATATCGATTTTATCGATTTTTTGCAAAATTTGAGCTACGGGGCTGGGATTTGGCACAGGGGGGTAATCGAGCATGCTGATCACCCCCGTGGGGATGATCAGCATGCTCGATTGCACCCCCCCCCCCCCTGCCAAATTCCAGCCCCCTAGCTCAAATTTTGCAAAAAAAATCGATAAAATCGATAAAAGTAATGCACGGTTTCGAAAACTAATATTGTATTCGTAATCAGCATGCTCGATTACCCCCCTGTGCCAGATCCCAGCCCCCTAGCTCAAATTTTACAAAAAATCGATAAAATCGACATCGATCGATAACGAAAAGTGGACTGTGACACCCGCCGGGGCCCGAAGTGTATGTGTGCCAAGTTTGGTCCGGATCGGTCAAGAAATGGAATTTTCTATTCGGAACATACGGCGGAGCCGGGTAAGCCAGCTAGTAATATATATTTCCTTTAAAAATCTTCTTTTTTTTAGACTGGTGATTGCTGGATTGGGTTGCCTCATATTTTTTTAAAAATATTTTCTACGGAATGAAATGGGCAAGAATTACATCAAAAATACTGATTCATTAATTCTCTAAACGACAGGCTGTACAGCTGTAAACAATGTCTGCATTTATATAAAAAAATTATCGGAGAAATGAGGCCATTCATTCAGACTAGGAAGAGCTCGATTTACAAGAAAAAGCAACGAAGACAATTTGTGCATTACGAAGGACTATCGAAATTGACTTACATTTGCAAGAAGATATCGGATTACAGAGCGGAGATTTTCGTCGTTGATGTCAGCAACTAATACAGCAATATCTCCTGGAGAAGGCAATATGGTGAAGGTGGAGAAAACTTTGTTCTTCCGCTCATTTTCGGAAAGCGCAAGTTTTTGCAGAAGCTCGTCCCGCAACTGAGTGTCACTGCATATGAGGTACATCTGAATAAAAATGATTTCTTAATAACATACAGATATTCCAGTAGCAAATTAACGGACTATAAGCGCGAAATGGAAAGAGAGAAAACGCAGCTTCAAGATCGAAGGTAGAGATTTTCGAAATATTCTTACGTAATGAGGTTATGCAACCGACAGATGAAATATGACGAGTGCAATGCGACTCTCAGCAAAGCATGCACTCAATTAGCCATCTGTAAGTAAAACACTAGAAAACTGAAGTATGGGCTCTTCTGCACTGCTCTGCACGCTCAACACATGTTTTGCGTCGAAATCTGCCAATCAAGAGCGGCTTGAAAAACTCATTTTTTTGTGATAAACACACATGTAGGTTGGATTAGAAACGTTTTTCCCACGGAGGTAAGGCATCAAAACTCTTAATCATGTACTCATACGGAACAGGGTTTATGTGTAACAGAGCGGTGTGGGAAGTGCAGTTGATTTTGTAATTTTTACTGTCATATACAGGCCGCTGCATGACGAAAGCGCACTATCTTTGGGCTCGAGCGCGGCTTTATTAGCCGTAGAGCGCACGAGGCGCAATATTTACAACGGCAAGGATACGCGCGCATCGCGTTCGCAGCTGCTCAAATCATACTGCTTCTGCACCTTCGTCATGCAGTAGCCTTTAAGTTCTTCAACACTTTTCCGCTCACTTCAACTAACATAAGATGAGCAATTTTTGTCGTATTTGAGATGTTTCTCCACTGCATTCTCAAGATTCAAAGCTAGAAGTTCTCTCGAATGTGTGAGCCGTTGCTCAGGCGGTACTTTCTATTCGTGGCCGAAAACTTGACTCTAAAACATCGCCCAGACTGTACTCTTCCGAACGGACCATCAAGGTCCTCAAGTGTATTCGGCAAATTTTTGGAACAAAATTTTGGAACGAATAAAGTAAGTAGGCTGCCGCTTGAACAAAGCTTATCTAACGTCTTCTATTTTATTTCTTACTAGCCGGCTTACCCGGCTCCGCCGTATCCGGACCAAACCTGGCACACATACACTTCGGGCCCCGGCGGGTGTCACAGTCCACTTTTCGTTATCGATCGATGTCGATTTTACCGATTTTTATCGATTTTTTGCAGAGTTCACCTACAGGGCTAGGAGTTGGCACAGGGGGGTAATCGAGCATGGGGACTCCGAATACAATATTGGTTTTCGGGATTATCGATTACTTTTATCGATTTTATCGATTTTTTGCAAAGTTTGAGCTACGGGGCTGGGAGTTCGCACAGGGGGGTAATTGAGCATGCTGATTACGAACACAATATTAGTTTTCAGGATCGTCCATTACTTTTATCGATTTTATCGATTTTTTTGTAAAGTTTGACCTGCGGGGCTGGGAGTTTGCACAGGGGGTAATCGAGCATGCAGATTACGAATACAATATTAGTTTTCAAGATCGTCCATTACTTTTATCGATTTTATCGATTTTTTGAAAATTTGAGCTAGGGGGCTGGAATTTGGCACAGGGGTTTAATCGAGCATGCTGATCACCCCCCTTGGGGATGATCAGCATGCTCGATTACCCCTGTGTCAACTCCCAGCCCCCTAGCTCAAACTTTGCAAAAAAATCGATAAAATCGATAAAAGTAATCGATAATCCCGAAAACCAATATTGTATTCGGAATCCCCATGCTCAATTACCCCCCTGTGCGAACTCCCAGCCCCGTAGCTCAAACTTTGCAAAAAATCGATAAAATCGATAAAAGTAATCGATAATCCCGAAAACCAATATTGTATTCGGAATCCCCATGCTCGATTACCCCCCTGTGCCAACTCCCAGCCCCGTAGGTGAACTCAGCAAAAAAATCGATAAAAATCGATAAAATCGATATCGATCGATGACGAAAAGTAGCCTATGACACCCGCCGGGGCCCGAAGTGTATGTGTGCCAAGTTTGGTCCGGATCGGTTCAGAAATGGAATTTTCTATTCGGAACATACGTACAGACATACATACATACATACATACAAACAGACATTCAGCTTTATATATAAGATTGTCCACATAATTTAGACTGATTTGCATGAACAGAGGAAGATTTAGCAAGTAGGAAATTTCAAACATAAGTGGAAGAAATTACCAAATATCTCCTTATCTCACAATTAACTCAGATTTTTGAATTTCAGCTTTGAATCAAGATAAGCATTTCAAAACCATCTTTCTGAGCGCAATGAAAGCTATTGAAAATAAAAGCTTTGGCTATACAGCATATACTTGTGTTTAATAGTAGCCGTTCCGTAAAAGATTTTCTAGCCCAAAGGCAAAGAAAAATTTCTGGACACCTGTAGTTTGCGGGAGCTAAACTTGCTCACAATGTACTAGGAAGGCGCAAACTTTCTCCATTATACAGGGTGTCCCAAAAGTAAGTACACACTTTTCAATCGTTAGTATCTCTCTTCCCATTGTGTCTTTTTCCGCCATTCAAGTGCCATTCTGTAGAGGAGCTTCAACTTAGATTTACGGTATCGAGCGAATCACCGTTCGCTCTACATTGTTGTAGGATTACTGAAGGGACTTCGACAAGGATTTTAGGCCGTTGGAAGTCATATTCTGCCTCGGAACAAAACCAAACAAGCCAAAAATTTTATACTATGGTAATGGAAGCCGCTGATTTCGAATCTGAAATTTCCACTTTATTGTGATGCTTTTTTCCAAAGTTATCCCAGGTAAACGTGATAACCGCATTCCCAGTATTTGTTGGAAATGTGATTACCCTGACAAAAAAGCTGAAAGCACTCGTGAAAAGTTGTGCAGTGGAATCATGGTGCGCGAAAACCCTAGTACACGATTTTCCAGACTTTTGAAAGAAAAATTTTGTCAGATGGCATATTTCACAATGGTTCCACACGCTGGAAGTTCTTACCGTAATCCTACAGAAACGAAGAGCGATCGGTGATTCGCTCGATGCTGTAATAAGTTGAAGCCTCCTTTACAGAATGGTACTTTACTGACAAAAAAGCCCGATTGGGAAGAGAGATATTGACGAATGAATAGTGTGTACTTACTTTTGGGACATCCTGTATATCCGGCGCTCGCTTAAGCAATAAAGTGAAGTTTGAATTTTACGAATTTTTTGCCGGAATATATTGCAAGAAGTTAAAAGCACCCACTTTTTTTAGCATTTTAAAAAGTGCCAAAAACTGCCTTTCTGAAGTTTCTAACTTTTCTTCCCTAAATAACAAAAGAATCCTGTTCCCTATCATTAGCTGTATCTTTAGAACATGGAATGGCCTCAGCGATCAAACAGGTTAAGTCAAAATTTCTCGGCTTAGACTTCTTCAAAAAAATCTAATGTTGCTAAGCATTTTGTAGCACAAAATCTCGCGATCATTATAAAATATTTTTTGAAGCCAACTCAACCATTCTGAATGAAATAGTAAGAAGAGTGCAAGGAAAGAATTTTGAGTTTCAATCACTTATCTCTGGAGGCATGGAACTCGGATTGTACAAAAAAATTTCGAAAGCAAATCATATACTAAAAACTAGAAGAATCCACAAATCCACATACCATAAAATATTATCGGGAAAAATGAATTCCCGTCGAGAGAATTCCCTTCGAAAACCAAAGAGATTAGAAATACGTGCGCAGTTTATGAGACGATCTAATGCAGAAACCTCCACGTCATTATTCAAAATTATTTTACTCCTTTGTCAGGTCAAGTGCTAACTAACCATAGGAGATGTCATGACATACTATTAGAAAAATTGTGGAGTTGTTATATTTACGTTCTGCCCCAGACGATATCATTTTAGGGACTCATATGAAGGGTGAGCTTGAAGGTGTATGGATGACAGAACAATTCTATGAGGTAAATATGAACTCATTAGCAGCATTATAATTCTGAACATTCAGTTCATTAGTAAGAATGTCTATTCCGAACAAAATTTGCAATGTGTAAATATGCACGTGCTTCTTTGTGGACACCTGTTTGGAAGAGTAGCAAAAAAAAAGACGAGAAAATGAACAGGGGTGTTGACGTTGGTATTTGTGTGCAAAAAGTGTTTATGACGACGATTGCTGTCTCCAAGGCGCAGGCACAGCAGAATGGCTGCTGATCGTGTTTTCGAACAATTTTCACACTGAAATATTAACGACGTGCAGATTATTGACTGGGGAGGAGCGGTCCCGAGGGAACCGGATAAAATTGTGAATTTTCTCTGTATCACAAGAAAAAAAAGAACTGAATAACGAGAATGAGAAGAAATGCAAGTAAACGGATTAAATTTAAAGAAAAAATTACGACAATAGTGATATGGTAATTGCAATGTTATAGCCTTTTTGGGACCAAAAGCAAAAGGGATATCGTTTTTGAGGCCGAAGACATAAAAGACATAAAAATTATGGGGTTTTTATTAGTCGACGTTTCGTTTTTTGAGGGTTTTTTTTGATTTTGGGTTTAGGGTCAAAGGGAACTTCGTAAGAATTCGCAAAAATCAAGGGGGACATGCATGTTCCAGAAACCAGCTCGTGCCGAGCCCTGAAAATAGCATTTACGCTTCATAGTAGTTTTTACAATTTTTCAGAAGTGCTTAGAATGCTACCACACCTTTCTAACGCCCCAAAATTACTTCCAGATAGCACCGGAGCCGAATCTAGACAACCTAGTCTGCAAATGCACCATTTCCACTAATAAGTATTTGATTAGATTTGGATATACTATAATCTTCAATAATAATTTCACACGAGCTTTCGCAAAAATGTTCTGTGCTTAAAAATAACCGTCGGAAAGTCACATTTAAACAAAAACAAGGAAGAAGAAACTTGTATTTTTTTGAACTGGTTCTTTCACAATTCACCAGGGCTCACGTACTAAAGTGGCAGGCTTAAATCTTGCAACATTTATATGGATTAGGAGTTTGGAATGAAGTGGAGGGCATGGGTATTGAGCAGTAAACCTAATTTACTAGATTTTATACATTACGCGAGAACATGGAGATTAAACATTGAATCCTCAAGAAGCAGGCCAGGTTGAAGTAGGTTCAACAATGG